GATTTAAGCTTGTCTGTTGGCTGACGTTTGAATATTTACAGTGAGTCCCTTCAAATGTTACTTGAACGCTGTATTTGTGCCACAAACACTGAGATACTGATGAACTGGGAGGAAAACAAGCTGGCTGCTTGCTGAGAATCCATCGACTGCGTAGTCCTGACCTGACAGGCTGGAGGGTGAAGCCTCTAATTTGAGCTGCCTCTGGTCGGAGGAGCCTCATCAGCTCTTCTGCAGTGGGCAGCTCTAAATACACACAAAGACAAAAGGATTTCTTAGCATACTTTTATCATTAACGATCCTGCCCATCACAAATACTTTTGCACAAGTAGGATGCATCTTATTTATAGGGCTAACACACATGAAGTGACATGATGTGACACAGAAGTGGAGCCCAGGTGTGACAAATGTGAAATGAAGACCTTTCTCTCAAGTCTTTGAAATCTGTGGACAAAGAAAATAATCAAAAAATTTTGATGCTTTTTCCAAAACTGTCAAATGACATTGAGGGTTCATCCCTGATCTCATTTGTAGTGTCAGAAAGAGCCGTTAGGGTACGCTCACTGAGCAACCACAGACCTGGGGTTTATACACTGTATACTCAGACCGACAAAGACTTAAAGTAGAATCATTTCTGACCTGACTCACTGGTAGAAACAGGCTGCAGAGACTGTTGGGCACGTTGAGGAGGAGAGGAAGGAGACAGAGGTCTGTTGATGCTCCATCTCACTTCCAAAGATGAGGTATGATGACCACGGTCATCTGAATCCTCCACAGCATGGACCTGCCTGTAGGCCTCCTGAAGAGCCTCCAACTCTGAGGCCCCACTTTGCACGTAAGACTGACCTGTAGAGGAAATGAATGAAGTTTATCCAGAAAGCAAAGTTAAAACTTGAATGATGTTTTAGGGAAGCTTAAAGACCTTCCTGAAAAAGCTCGTTTCACGTGTTTACATGCTTGTTTACATCCTGACCACATATGTACATATGTATTGTTTACAATTTTGTCTTATAATCTGGTTTTCATTATAGTAGTAGTATTTATTTATTGTCATTGTCAAGAACAATGAAATTGC